CTGCTAGAAAGCACCTCCTTTCTTTGAACTTTCACACATAAAAAAGGCACCAACATTGAAATTCTGAAGTCACAATCAATTAAAGTCATCTGTTTAAGGAATAAGAGATCAGATCGGAAAGAAGACCGAAACTGACATTAGAAATCCTTTGTTAGGATCCCAATTTCACCACTTACCACCTGTGTGTCCTTGAGTGAGTGCTAAATTTGAGCAGCTGCTTTAGAGTTCAGTGTTCTCAGTTTTTTGCTTTTTTTTTCTTGAGACAGAATCTCACCGTGTCACCCGGGCTAAAGTGCTACGACGTCAGCCTAGCTCACAGCAACCTCAGAATCCTAGGCTCAAGCAATCCTCCTGCCTCAGCCTCAGGAGTAGCTGGGACTACAGGCATGTGCCACCATGCCCAGCTAATTTTTTCTACATGTATTTTTAGTTGTCCAGCCAATTTCCTTCCATTTTTTTAGTAGAGACAGCGTCTCGCTCTTGCTCAGACTGGTCTCGAACTCCTGAGCTCAAACAATCTACTCGCCTCGGCCTCCCGGAGTGCTAGGATTACAGGCGTGAGCCACTGTGCCCGGCCAGTGTTCTTATTTGTAAAATAAGGAAAATGACATCTGCCCTGACAGCCTCACAGTTTTGAGGTTATATGTATCAAATATGCAAATGCTTAATATATTGCAAAGCATCATATGAACAGAAAGTATTACCAGTCATTTCAGAAACTTTAATGAAACATGGATTTTTGTGACGGCTGTTAAAATTTCTTTTAAAAAATATATATAGTGTGATGAACAAAATAAAATTTTCTAAGCTCAGCTATAATGTTTTGTACTAATTTAACAAGGTATAAGTTCATTAAAGACAGACACCAAGGGTTATACATCTTTGTGTCCCTAACATTTTATAGAACGGTTCTATGCAGGCCAAGTTGGTTGATTGATTTTTTTTTGTTGAATGATTGAGAATATGTATGAGATCATTATTCCAACAAGTATAAATCGGCCACTTTTAGCATTATGAATTCTAATGAATTCTACTATCTTCTCAGTTAATACATACTGAGTTCTCTAATAGCATGTAACAAAGTTATAAGGGTGAAGATGCGGTTACTCTGTTACACTGTTGTTGGTTTCATAGACTGAGCCTGGGGTGTGTGGATGTGGGGTGGGGTTGGATGAGCAGCGTCCACGGTTGTAAGAACACTGTTGCCGAGGTCTGTGTGGCTAAGAGGGTTAGTGATGCCAGCCTGCAACTGGCTTTCTAAAATGTAAAATTGAAAGAACAATTCTCAATTTTTAGTATTTCCAACAAATTATCTCAAAATTAAAACAAAGTTGCCCTAACCTGTGATGTAAACTTTTTGTTGCTGTCCAGTTTCATGTATCTTCTCAGGAATTTCTTTAGGAATTTTTTTCCTCCTCTTCTAACTTCTGAAATCTGTTTATACAACTGTAAATGGCTGCTTTCTTGCTCCCTCACAAAAAGTTTTTAGAAGCTCTTCCATCCCTACTTAAAACACTGTGTTATGGTTGACTTTTTTTTACCATTGTAACAAATACAGGCGTAGCATTGATATTTACCTTGTTTTCGTACTTAGTACCTGCAAAAATTAGCATAATGCCTTCAAATGCAGTTTTTCATAATTGCAGAGAAAATTCATTCATTAAACTTTATTGAGCACCTGTTATGTGCATATCAGCCTCCTAATGCTTTTTTCATTTAGTTGGGCCCAAGTTTATGTAGATCCAGGAAAAATTATCTGTGTCTATTTCAGGGAGACAGACGCAATTTCAGCTAATGGTTCTTTAGGGCGAGTTATTGTAATGAATTGTGTCTAGGTATCATTTTATAATAAGAAATTATTTCACTAGTTAACAGTAATGGGCTTTGTAGAGTAAAAGATTAGTTATTTTGAGTGATAACAAAGAGTTTGAAAAGTAGCTTTTTTCTCTTTGGTCTTTTAAAAAAATTATAATTGTTACAAAAGTAATCCATATTTTAAATTGAGCCTGGAGTAAAGAAAGGGGGTGGGGTTCCTAAGGTCCTAAAGCAAGGGAATAACAGGCAAGGGATATTTTAATGGGTAGATTTGGCAGAGACTTTAGTCATATACCCAGGTAAAGCATGCTCAGTGATTAGCTATAATTAGCTAATATTTATTGCATCTGGCTAAGAAACAAAAAATTAAGAGCTGCCTAATTTGTATATACATTATTAGACTGAGCATGCGTTCTGGCTGCACCTGTGTACATTTTTCATTGATTTTTCTTGACATTATTTGATGTTTTGGACCAACCATACCTGCTGGTGTTTCAACATGGCTTCCTCCCTGCTTAAACCGTGGCTCTTTTTATTTTGTACTTTTCTTTTTGTGCAATGCAAACAGCACTGAAGTTGTCTGAATAATCAAGTAACCTCCTAACTTCAATTAGACAAAGACAAGACTCCACTGCAGAATTATATCACAGAACAAATGACACCATTTGTATTAAAACATTCTACACTTGGGTTTCTTTTTCCTTGACACCTAAAGAAACCATCATTTTTAGTCAACCTAAAAGTAGATTATAATTTTAGGCTTGTAAGTGATATCTCAGGCACAAGGGTACTGGATAAAAATAGAAAATAGGATTTGATTGTTAAATTAATACCATATCCCAATACCACTTTTTGAACCTTGTTGAATATATTTGCGATCCTGTTCATGTTTCGGAAGCTGCATAATATTTATGAAACTGGAATAGGGAAAGGAATGCCTTATTAGAGGCAGTTTTTTTATAAAGCATCCAGGCATCTTGCTGCTGTATTTTTAGCACAATCTCTGTGAATATTATGTGTAGCTTTACTTACACACAACTCTGAAAAGTATTTCTTTGCCTTCAACCTTCATTTCAGCATGGATTTGTTTTTATATGTAGAGTTGCAGTCTTAGCAGGAAAAATCGATCTTCATCAATATTTGCTTATAAAACAGACCTAAGGAAATAGTTGTAAATTTCTACTAGAAATATGGTATAGAACTTGCTAGTATATAGTCCATTTAATAAATTTTCTTTTTCTATCTCCTTGTTATTAACAAAAAGATAATTACTTTTGACTCTGTTTTATGAAATGTTTTTAGCTAGTAACTGTTAAGAAATTCGCAAACAGAACAAAAACAGAAGTGCTTATGCTCATTAGCGACATTTGTGACTCCAGCCCTCTGAAGGGCCTCAATGTACTTTGCTTTTTCTTTTCGTAGCCTCCCTTTCCCATCCTCTTCTTTGCTCTTATTCTTGTTCCTCCAAATTAAAGCTGTATTGCCATAAAAAATATATAAGGTATATTTGGATGAATAGAGGGATAGATGGAGGGATAGAAGTATGATAAATCAGTATAATAAGTTGTTAATTTATGTAGAATCTAGATGGAGGGTAGAGAGGCATTTGCTGTGAGATTCTTTCAGCTTTGCTATATGCTTGAAAATTGTCACAGTGAAATCTCTTAGCAATGATTACCTATGAAGGGTGGGATGACAGGGATTTTTACAATTATATTATTAGAAATGAAGATAATTCATTTAAAAGCTATATGAAAGTGTTTTCACTAACGAAGTCACCAGACTATTGACTTAAATGTCCTTCGTGTTTGAAATTGACATTAGTTCCTTCGTGTTTGAAATTGACATTAGTTCACGCTAAATAATTAAGAATGTGCCCAAAGAATCAGGTGTATGATGATGAGCACATCATTACAATAGGAAATTAGTTACATAAATTTTGGTGCATATACAGTCAGTGAAATACTATGTAGTCATTAAAAATGTATAGGATAGAAACAAATGCACTGGCATGGAAAGATTTTATAACGTAATGTTTTATATGCTATCTAGAAAATTAAGAATTTGTGAATATAGCTGGAAGTACCATGCATATGTATAAAATGTTGCTCAATTATGAGATTATGAATTTTTTCCTCATCTAGATCTTTTTTATCCACATTTTAATTTTTTCCAAAAAAACTTATTCCCAGTGTTTTTTTTATTAAATTTAATAACACAAGAAAAAAGAAAAACAGAAAAGAGAAGAAAAGAAAAAAGCCATGCTATTTTTCTGTGAAAATGGAGCAAAGAAACCTTGGTATCTTTAAATAATTTTTGATCAACCCAAAAAGATTATCTGGGCTTCCCCTTTTGTCTGTATCACTAAAATCTGCTCTCTTACATTTTCTTAATCTTGCTCTTATAAAGAATGCACTTGAAATATGTAGAAACAAATAATTTCATTCATTCTTCTGAAGATATTTTCGTGGACTTGACTAGTGGGTTTTGCCTGAGGCATTTCATACTTGGAATTGCCCTGTCTTTAATCTCTAATTGCATTAAATTTCTATGTCTGACTCATGAGGAAAGGAAGCTTCAAAGCAGAAAAGAGAAAATCCAGTTTCTCTGTAAGTACAATAATCTCTGATTGTATTTCAGACAATGTAATACTGATGTTCCAAGGTTTCCAAGTGGCCTACCCAGAAGAATGAAGAGTTCAAGGATGTATCGGTTAAATAATAAAAATGTTTTTACTTATTACAGCTCTTCCTATAAGAAGATTTCATCAATGTGTTGAAATTAGGTAATCTTTACAATGCGCATCTGAGACAAAGAAAAGGAGAAGACGATTACTGTTCATTTCTGCCACTCAGGCAACATTTGTTGAACACGTTATGACTCTGAACTTAATGTTTTGCACTTTTAGAAGATGTATTTTTTCCATAGATTTTCTTTCAATGGCTATTAAAAGAAAAGTTGGATAGAAATTAAAGTAAAATAAGCAAAAATGGAGTTCATCTTAGAGTTCCATAGTCAATTATATGGAATTTGTAATTCATTCTGCTGTGGCGTGCACGCGCGGGTGTGTGTGTGTGTTTATACTCCTCCTCTTCCTCTTCTAGGCTGGTAGTCTATTCCAAGTGTGTCTCCTTGGTCCCTTACAACATATAATGTTTGGGTTCTTTATCTCTTGTCTTTCCCAGGTAAAATGTCCATCGATCGAGCTCTGAGGAAACAGCAGCAGTTAAACAACCTCGTTTATGTAGTGACAAATCAGGCCAAACCTGGTGACAGAATTGTGGATTTCTGCAGCGGTGGGGTAATATCTCCTTTTTTTTTTTTTAATCATTGATGGCCTTTCTGAGGCTGTTCCTTTTCTTTCTTTTTTTTTATTTTTATTTCGGCATATTATGGGGGTACAGATTTTAAGGTTTCAATAAATGCCCTTCCCCCCCGCCCCCCACAAGTCTGAGTCTCCAGCATGACCATCCCCCAGATGGTGCACATCTCACTCATTATGTATGTATATACCCGCCCCCCTGTTCCTTTTCTATATCACATTCAAGGTTCTGTTTTTATTTGGCAAGATTTTTATCTCAGAATGAGCAAAAGCCAGGGGACAGAAATTAACTTGTCTCTTCTGCTGACTTTTCAGGGCCATGTTGGGATCGTGCTCGCTCACATGCTGCCGTCCTGCCAGGTAACAACTGAACAGCAGGCAAAGGGAATGTCCCGGCCAGCCACACCTGGGCTGCCCTCGCCCTTTGAGTGTCCTGTCATTTGCCCAAGTCAAACATGTGGCATTTTTTTTCTTTGAAGTAAACTTCCAAGTCTGAGACTCTTAAGGGAAAAATAAGTAAAGTAGGACCACAAAACAGTCATCAAGTTTTTAAAAAGCCTTCTATGTTTTAATAATTTTAAAAAGAAATAACTATTTCATTTTTATATAAAATAATTGTGATTCAGCTATTTTAATTTCAACATAATTTTAAATGGAAATGCTGGCTTCTGAAACTTGCTGAGTGTGTTCTTTTGGTGTCTTGTTTTTGATGCATTGCATCAATATCGTAACTACAATAAAATTTTTTAAAGAAAAAAAATAAACCAGTAAACTCAAAACTTACCATACTGATCCATGAAACGCCTTTCTTTTCTTGTTCAGATTAAGTCATTGTCCATATGGATATTTATTGTTGCAAATCTAAAAATGCAAATACTGTTATAGTCCCCTGCTTTCACTCAATGTTGTATCATAAATGTTTTACCTATAGGTAATAATTTTATGTATCACCATATTTTGTGACTGTATAATATATTTTTAAGTAAGTGTGCCATAGTTTATTCAATCATTGCCATAGTCTGTTAGCAGTTTGCACTGTTTTTAGTCTTCTGCCATATTAAATCAATTCCTCACAGTGACCATTTTTTAACATAAAAATCTTAAGGGAAAGGTCATCCTTTTCTTTTTCCAAACACAAATTCAACTGGGGCAGAGTAGTCTTTGCTTGTGATCTCTCTGGAAGGTGTGAATTCTTTACAGTGAATACTTTTGGAAGAAAAAGTGTGGAAAAACTGATAGTTAAACTGGCCAGAATGACATGTAACAGAATGATTGGTGGCTGAGGGGCTGCTGGGGTGTGTTGTTCTTTTCTTTTCCTGGAAAATAAATAAGGAATCTGGAAGGAGAAGCAGGTGTCTGTTTTATTATTAAGGACAACAACAATTTCACAATTGACTGAAAAGAAGGGAGCTCACAGAGTAAAGTCCTGGAGGAACAGCATCAGGGATGGAGTTAATCTCTTTGTTCCTTTCCTAGTAGTTTTCCTGGAAGCTTAGACAGGTTGAAACTGAAAAAGGGAAATCTTGGTTAAAATAAAGGCCAGAAAGCCTTTGACACCAAGTATACTCTAACAGGTTTTTTATACGAAGGGACCCAGGATTTTTCCATAAGGACAAATAAGAATTAGAAATGATAATGATGAAAGTGACTTCATTCTGCCCATTTTTCAACATCCAAACCATCTTCTCCGCCTCCATTACTTTTGCAAACTCCCCACTGGTCCCCCTGCCTTCCGCCTCCCCCCTGCAGTCCATAGCATACATTGCAGGCCACTGAAACTTCTACCACAAATGTATGGTCTGGCTCCTGTTCATCTCTTAAGCCTCGTGTCCACACTCCAGTCCCTGTCCCTGTCCCCACTATCACTGTCAGACACACCATGTCCCCAGCTGTGCTGCTTTCCTCAGTTCTTCAAACACACCCTGCTCTTTCTCACCTTAGGCCTTCCTATATGTTTCCCTCTTTCCACCTGAAACACTCTTCCATTCTTCCAGCTAATTCGTATTTGTTTTTTAGGCCTCTGTTAATATGTTACTTCCATGAAAACCTTCCTTAGTTATCAAATATGATTGCTCCAGTTATACATTATTTGTCTTTCATTAAACACTCGTTACACTGTATCATTATTCCGTGTTTCACTTACATCACTATACTGTAAGCACAATTCAAGGATCTTTCATTTTTATTGTTTACAAGTACTTCCCGGCATAGGATAAAGGATCAATATAATATGTTCTGCATTGTTAAAACCGTGAAATACAGTAATAAAGCTTTGTCCCAATGCCTGAATTACATTATTGAATATACTATTGTTTTCTTGGTGAAATCTAGGTCACATTAATAGAAAACAAGGAATTATCATTAATTCGTGCTAAGAAGAGAAGTGACGAACTAGGCTTAAACAACATTTGCTTCATTCAAGCAAATATGGAATATTTTACAGGGATGTTTAATATTGGGGTAAGTAATTAAACAATTTCTTTAATTAGATAAACAAGAAAAAGTATTGATATATGCCTTAGAGTAAGTAAGGGAGATAATTTTAAATTCTTGGGTAAACAAATCTGCAACCCTCTATACTTATATTCTCTATAATGTATATACAGCAGTATTATTTTATTCGTAGCACTTTATGATTATGTGATAAAGATGACACTGGCTCCTCCGCCAGACAAGAACTTTATTTTCTTCCTAGGGAATCCCCAGTGCCATTGCCTTAGAACAATGTCGGGCACATAATAAGTGCTTTAAAATGGTTAATAATTGAATGAATGAATTCTAATGAACATGACTTGCCTTGGTGTATTCTGCATTTTTAGAAGACAATGACAGAAAAATAACAAAGAAGATAAGAAAAGAAAAATAACTTGTTAGTAACCTCTAAATACTAATGTTGCCTTTAGATAATATTTTTGCTTTAGCTGAGATTTGATGTCCATGTGTATGTATAGCTTCTAAGAGATAAAAAAATTATGTCGATCATGTTTCTAAACCCTTTGAGTAAATTGTTATTATTTGATATTGCTAAAAAGACCTAAGATGTGTGATTCTGCCTGATCATTTAAAACCAAAATTCTATACTATCCTGTGGAATTTGAGTTTCATAAAAGTGTTATGATTCTATTAGAATCATAAATATGTGCCTTTTGAGGTATGATTAAAGCATAGGCTTATTTTATTTCAAAATATGCCTTATATTAAGAATCAACATATACTCTTTTCTCTGAGAAATCAGTGATACTCTTTTCATTCTCTAAGAATAAAAACATATTTTGTCAATTTGTCTAGAGTCTTGCTTTGTAAGCTGCCAGTCGAAAGACATTATAAGAGTGAGTGGTGATTAATTTAATTTACTTACTATTGCATAGAACAAAGACATGCAACAGTTGAGGTTTCTTGGCTGTTCAGTTTTATTTCAATCATTTACACGATAGGATAAGTATGGTGCTTAGAATTTATATTATGTATAGATAAATCGAAGTAAGAAAAGGAAAGGTGCAAAGGAAAGGTGTTTACTTTATAATCCATTAATTCTGTAGCATATATCTGGATCAATAGTATTTACATTGATCCAGATTGATCTTTGGAATATACGTTACTGTGGCCAATAGATAAGTTTACAACTTTAATTTTTATCTCGTATTGGAATTCAGTATATGTAGAGAGAAAAGAGTAGATAATAAGAAGTTCACTATTTGAAAACTACAATTCTGAATTATTTGGGTCTTTTGGTGCCATGATGTCAGCTAAATATGGTTTCTCCTTCAACACATTGGATACTATTAATAATAGTTTATGTTTTGATGCCTTTTCTACAAGTGGAGTATCTATCCTATATTATATTAATGCATTTATCTAGCCTATGCATATTGTATTAACAAAGTCTCTGGGTCAAATGCTTGAAATGTAATTAGAAATTAGATGGCATACATCTTGGATAGGGATGGCTTAAGAAAAGATATTAGATGCATTTATCTTTGTCCCTTTCTTCCTTTATCCCCTCCTTTATGTTTGAGTAGCATATAATTTACAGTTTTTTTCTCATAAGTCAGTGGTGAGCCTAAGAGTGATACTGAGAAATTCTTTAGATTTTTTTTTTTAGCGTATTATGGGGGTACAAGTGTTAAGGTTACTTATATTGCCCATGCCCCCTCTCCCACCTCGAGTAAGAGCTTCAAGCATGTCCATCCCCCAAACGTTGCACTTCTTACTCGTTGGGGTTGTATATACCCGTTCCTTCCTCCCCTCTCACCCCGACACCGATAAATGTTATACCTCTATAGTCACTTAGGTGTTGATCTGTTTAATACCATTGCTGGGTGACGTAACATGTGTGCTTTTTTTCCATTCTTGAGATACTTCAACTTAGTAGAAAGGGTTCCAGCCTTATCCAGGAATATACAAAGTGCTCTATACCGTTTGTTCTTATAACTGAGTAGTCTCCATGGTATACATATACACATTTTATTATCCACTCATGAATTGATGGGCACTTGGGTTGTTTCCATACTTTCAATTCTGAATTGTGCTGGCTATAAACATTCAACGTGCAGGTTATCTTTTTTAAAAGGGAGGCTTTTGATTTTTTGTAGTGCCCAGTGTGAATGCGGATCAAATGGTAAGATTATTTATATCGCTTTGAGGTATCTCCATGTGCTCTTCCAGAAGGTGAACGGTTTGCAGTCCACCAGCAGTGTAGGAGTGTTCTCTCATCTCGCATCCATCCAGCCGTTGTTGTGGGGACTTTTTATAAAGCCATTCTCCCTGAGTTAAGTGATATCTCATTGTGGTTTTTGATTGCATTTCCTGATAATTAAGTGTTGAATATTTTTTTCATAGTTTTGCCATTAATTGTCATTTGAGAAGTTTCTGTTCATGTCCTTTGCCCATTTTTTGATAGAGTTGTTGATTTTTTTCTTGCTGATTTTTCTGAGTCTAATAGATTCTAGTATCAGCCCTTTATCGGATGTGGGGTAGCTTGCAAAAATTTCTCCCATTCCTGTGGGTGTCTGTTTGCTCTTCATTGATAGTTTCTTGGCGTGCCAGAACTTTTTAATTTCATTAGCCCATTTGTTTATTTTTGTTGCTGTCGTGATGCCTTTGGGGTCTTCTTCATAAATGTCTTTGCAGCCAATGTCCTGCAGGTTACGATGGGGGGGGGGTGTTTGCTGGAGAGCACAGATACTTGCTTGTGTTTTTTTATTTCCATTCGCCAGACTAGTCCTGAGTGGGAGTTCAAGCCATTCACATTTATTGAGATAGACTGATAGGTGGGGCAGATTTCCTGTTCATTCTATGTGGGGTTGGAACTTTGTTGCTTTGTTTCATTCTCTTGAGCCCATTATAGTGTCTTGCGGGCTTTGATCTTTACTTTGAGTAGATTTACATTCGTGAGTGTTTATTGTGCTGATCCGTGGTACACTGTTTTGAGACTTCTTGAGAGGCTGGTCTTGTCTTGATGAATTCTCAGTCTTGCTTATCTGAGAATGTCTTGAATTTCTCCTCTCATATAGCAAAACTTAAGTTTTTGCAGGATAAGATTCTAGGCTGGCCAATTGTTCTGTTTCAGAAGAGTGAGAATGGGGCACAGTCCTCACCTTGCTTGTAAAGTCTCATTAGAGAAGTCTGGTGTTTATTTGAATTGGTTTCCGTTGGTACCTTACTTGCTTCTTTCGTCTGTACCAGCTCTTAGAAGGCCTCTTTATTGATAATTTTGGTCAGTCTGATGACTGCATGTCATGACGTCTTCCTGTTTGCATTGAATCTCCCGGGGTCCTCTGAGCTTCTTGAACTTTTATATCGAGATTTTGAGCAAGCCTGGAAATTTTCTCTATTATATCTTCAACAGTTTTCCAACCCTTGATGTTGTCTTCTTCCCCTTCTGGTAACCTCTGACCCTCACAGTTAGGTTTCTTCACATAATGCCACATCTCTTGTAGGCTTGCTCTTTCTCTATTTCTCTGCTCTATCTTCTCTGACGATTATTTAATTGGAGGGTGTTATCTTCAATCCTAAGATTCTTCTTCTATTTGATCTACCTGTTCTTAGATTTCCATATATGTAGTTCCTGAATTGATTCTTCATTTTCAGGAGTTCAGTTAAACTTTTTTTTATTGTGCTTTCTTATGACTTTTGTTCACATCCTGGGCTTTTGTGTTTCTTGTGTTGGTTATTGATTTTGA